CTCCTTCGAATTCTTTGGACTATACAGCTCGGTCCGATGAACAAGGATCAGAGGACTAAGAGCCTTTGACTGGTTTTGCAACAGTGTTTTTGAACAGATTTGTATTTATGGTAGGGACAAATATGAACACGCCATGATCTCAGATGTGAAACTCGATGACAAGGCTGGAAATCAAAGACGTGATGGTGTGAGAAAAATACCAGACAAAAATTAGAAAATATCATGCTTTCAGCTCCATTTTTCCGAAAATCCAACTTTCAGGCGCAACTGTTGGCAGAGTCTAACTTAGTTTTTCTTGGCACCCTTCTCTTTGAATTCCTTGTCTTGGTTGTCCTTTGTGTTTGAATCCGAATGCTAATAGCTGTAGTCGTCCTCACCAACATTGTCGGCTGTTGACTCCAGCTTGGGTTGGATGCTGGCAATCTCTGGACATGTGGTGCCACTGGTGTTCTCGCAGCTGTCCTTTGCAGATGAAGATTCATTTGAAGTTTGATTGCTGTCTCCATCCTTCCTATACCTTTTGGATTTTTGAGTTACAAAAGCAGGATTTTTATACCCGAAACACACCCTCTTGCTTTTCTCGCAGTTGAAGCAAAAAGGCTTGCGCTCATCGCACTTGATTCTCCTGTCACGGCATGTCAGGCACCCCGTTTTTGTCCTTCTCTTTGCAAGTGGTTTTCCCGGTGGCAAACTAAACCTATTGAGCAGATACGGGTGCCCGTAGTACAAATTCATATCCAATCTGGGATGATACAACGGGAGTTCTATGTGACGGTGATGCGCTGGATCGATCACCAGTTGAGCATGTGGATGACTCTGATGCGGATAAAGGGACAATCCAGGATCTATTGATATTGTTTGGAGCCATTGGAGCTGTTGTTGCTGATGTGGTAGTGGTTGGTGTGGAAGTAGTTGAGAGTGGTCTCCGATAGGACTGGTACCGGGACTTATATTCATGACCGACATCAGTTGCAGGTAATTCATCGGCTCATTGAGCAAAAATGGCGATTGCATCTCTGGATTCAATTGATGTGAAATGATGTTTGGTTGTATATTGATCTGCTGTGGTCGCTGGATCTGATGGTAAAGGGTGCGCTGGTGCATAGGTGGGAGCTGTTGAGTGTCCGGCTGAATGTTCAACAGGGATGGAGCAGTCATTGATATCTTTGGTTGAGACTCCATATCATGCAATCGAGGCAATGAGGAATACATCCGGTGTTGATGGGGAGCTCGTGGTACCAAATAAGCTGCGCTATTTGCGCCCCCGCTGCCACCGTCCCCGCCGTTTACCAGTTCCATTTGTTCAACAGAATGCTGGATATGTACTGAAGTCTCTGGTGCTTTCTCAAAATTCGCAATTTTTGAGATGGGGGGAAGATTAACCTCATTGTGAGATGATGGGTCGGGCATCTGTATCAATTTTTGTATGGACATATGTTTATTATGTAGACAGAAATGATGTGGAACAGAATTTTAGTAATTTCCAGCATCCATAGGCGGGGCTGAGGAACAAACTGGTATAAATAAGTGCATTACAGCAGAAATTCGGCAATTGGAGGTGTGCGCTCACGCACGCTGGCTATTATCATATCAGATCTCAGCACCTTAGATGTCTTGCCTGAAGTCGGCATATGCGAAATGCGAATTTCAAATTCTCTCAACAAATATGCGGACTTTTGCCAGTGTGATGTTGAACAAAAATGCATTGGGGATTTGTTTGGTCTTACCATCACGAATAAGTTGAAGAATACTCTCCAGGTCGACAACTCACTGGAGTTTGTCTTGTTGAAAGATCCCTATCGCTTGAGGGCGATGATAAATAAGCTCCCTAATTGAGAAATCAACAGCTGAGCTATCCGTCTGTGCCGACCCGACTCACCAGAAAACCAATCCGATAGGAAGAGAAAAATAGAACTTTAATTAGTGTGCATATTCTGCATACCCGCATGGCCCGAACATCGAAGGTTAACTAAAATACAAATTGTCTACCGAGCCTGTTGCCGAGTACCAAGTCTCAAAAATATTACAATCAAATAAGTTATGCTCGTACTTGACCGGTACCTTAGCAATGAGCAGAAGTCATTGGAGTCAACAAAGAGGCGATGAGATCTGCAATTCAGTTTTACGCAAACTGTCTGCGCGGCTTCTTTACGACATTTCTGCCATCGCTTCTCGGGGAGGCTAGAAAATGCGCGGTTCAAGAGCGTGAAACATGCTCGATACAACTGCGGACGTAACATGTGACCCATCAAGTGCATGACACCACAAACTGTTGCATGGAGGGCGTGCAAATACCTCCAGATAGAGAATCTATTGACTTTCATTTGACCATAGTCGGCTACTAATAGCTAAACTTCGAGCAGAATGCCACTATGGTGGCAGGCAGTGCTGCCCGACCTGCGTCTTCCGCCTCAGACTGCTAAACTTTAAGCATGCAGGGGGGTCGTATATAGTGCATCGCGGGGGCCATCTCCGGTTCCAGGCACAGATCCCCGTACTGCACTACGCGTATATAGGCATTGAAATCTCTTGCACCAAAATGGCATTACGTCCGCTTAGATGATTCCATAAGTGGAATCCTTCAACCCTGTTTGGCATAACATCAAGCCTGAAATTCTGGGGCGATAATACAGCACGTGAGTGATAATAATGCATACCAATCCCACCCAATCCTTTCACGCCGCTTCGCAATGATCTTAGAAGTACAATAAGGTACAAAGTACCGGGACAAAAGGATTATGTGACGAGACAATGCCGAATGCTCTCCTGTCGATGAAGTCGACATTCAGGGGTTGATCCGTAAACGCCGTTATTCAATGGATACAATACAATGTTTGCGTGAGGATGTGCCGAGGTAACAGGGCCGCCCTGTGGTACCAAGCACACGAAGCTTAATGCAGCCAAGGCCTAGGTTTAGCCGCCAAGGAGGTTACTTCACTATTGCAAAATACTCTCATATGAATAAAGTCAAACGAATTGTAAGAACGGCTCCTCAAATTGCTTTGCAGCCTGTGATTATAAAAAAACAGCAGCAATTAAAACCCAAGAAACTTAATACAATCTTAGGACTCAAACAATTCTTGCGAACAAAGACTAATGGTCCGATGGCGCAATCGTGAAAGCATAATTGCGGAAGCCATATAGTTAGACTATTGCTGGGCATGGTGGGCCCCAACTTTATTACAATAGCACTGTTTGTATGGTAATAAATAGCGCAGATTCAGGGAAGACTTCCATTTCGAGTTCACAGATTGTCCACACTGCACTACGCTGATACGGAATTTAAAGTCACCAGCACCAACAAAGTATCACCTTCGCCTCGAGAATTCCGTTTGTGGGATCCTCAAGCCCATTTGGTAAAACGACAGGACTTGAAATTCTGAGGCGCTAATGAGGCACCCATACCAAACCTTGTTTCTCGCACGCTCCTACAATGACATCATAAAAAGAGCTCAAGAGATACCGCGAACTGAGGATTTCACGGTGTCAAACTATTGATCATCATGAGGATCGCGGTATGACAGAAAACAAAAGTGGACGCTGCTATACTAAAATAGCTACAGCTACAACCTGAGCAACCTTATCACTATTTGTTGTCAGTTCATTCTCTTAAACATTACCTGAACGAATGGAAGGTGCAGGTCGGCAGTACAGAAGAACTTGTGGTTACATTGACAAGAAAGCTCAAGAGAGTTTTTCACAACATCATGTACAACATCAAGAACTTGAATTATGTTGTTAATGAAGCCAATCAGAGAAATATCGTCATTGTAAAAACACACAGCAGCCACTACTTTAAACGTGAGGTCAAACATACGGCGGGCAATAAACCAATTTGAAGATTATGCTACTCGAGAAGATAACAGTCGAATTGATACCTACCAGATCGCATTGCACTACCTTTTATAGACCCATTTTGATGCTTGGGGTAATGATGGCTGGGCTGCAGAGTATGGTCACTGGAAGGTCAGAAGGCTTTCTTAAAACTAAAAGTTGCCAAGACAAATCGACCATCTGGGTTGAGTTCAGATACTTTGGGCTGAGAAATCTGGTTGATATCCTATCTGCCTTTATCTTTGTGCAGATGCAGAGAGCGCTGGGTTGGTGCCATTTTATCGAAAAAGCTGCGGTATCCATGGGGAGCCCAGTATTCTCTGGCCCAAATGCCTCTCGATGTTTCAATGCTTTACAGAATTCAATTGTAATCTCAGTTTCTCCTCATTATTTGATAAGTGTGGTATAAGAAATCGAATCTCTGTTGAGTAATAGATAGTATAAAAATGACACTAGTTAATAGTCATGCTCTCAATGTCTATCGAGCCAACTAGCAAGTGTTTATCAGAACATAAGACGAACCGGTATCATCAGTTGTTGTGATGGTTGCTTCGGGGCAGGTTATAGTAGTAACTACAGCCGAACTTGTTGTATGGGTGATTGTTGACACAAGATACGTCGTTTCGCTGAATAAGCCGGTGATAGTGCTAGTTCCTGCGTCGACTAGACCTGATAGAACGTTAGTACAACCTTGTAGCCCTGACAAAGTTCAAAATTCAATTTTCACTCACCGTGGTTGAAAGCCAAGAAAAAGGCAAGAAGGAGAGTGGTGATAGGTTGCATAGTTCGAAAGAGACGGTTGTGTGTTGTCTATCGATGGTTTGTTGAGTTTGTGCTTATCTTAAAACACGAGGGGTAACACAGAAAACCACTAGCTATTTATACTTGATGAATGGAACATTTCATGCCAGCGTCGAATGTTGTACGTCCTTTTGGACTGAATAGGTCAAAACTACGCAGTTGAATTGCCCGTTTGGTCGATATGAAAATCATGCATAACGCCTGACTTTGGAGCATGCATGCACACGCATACATCATCTCCACGCATCAGCTAAAACACGCATAAACAATGCAGAGTTGCTTGATTACAGTTTATCCGTCGACCGCTTTCAAGGAAGCTGAAATTCAAATTTCTGATCGCCATAATCCAAAACAAGTGTTCATGATTGAAAGGAAGGAAACGGTGCAAGGCTTTTGTGGGCTCGGATAAGACCGACATTGGAGTATGTTTCTCGATAAAACCACCAGTAAAACCACCGAAGAGGCAAAGAATCCACCAGTTCTACCAAGCGTTTGTTCCCTTGAAGTGTCAACTCACTCGCCACCATTCTGCATGTTGTAAACTTGATGCACATGCACAAGATTGCCCAGTCAAATAAGTAGCATGTGCAACATCAAATACTCACGAGTTGTACCGTACAAGGAAGTTCTAATGTTGCAACCTTGGTCACTAAGCTTCCGCCTGCTACCTGAATTTCAAATTACGACTAAAACATATATATGCATCTGCATCAATCATGTAAACTACTTGACCAATTTGGAAAGGAATTACTACGTTGGGCAAACGCCCATATGTTGTCAAATCGCCTTACGATGGTTCTGCATGAGTTACATAGATCATTTGACTAATTCGGAAAGAAATTTCTACGTTGGGCAAATACCGGTAGGTTGTCAAGTCGCCTTACGATATTCCGAAGTCTAATGTCTCTCAACTAGAGTATATAGCAGGATACATTTCACTGTTCACCGAAGCCATTTCATTTGCTTTGTTTGCTAAGGGTTGGAAATCAAAAGGATCAGCTTGTATCATCATCAAAAATGCTTGTTTCAAACCAACTTGTTTTCATTGGGCTGTTGCTTCAGTTCACAAGAGCACTGGACACTTCAACCACTTGCCAGGCTTGCACTGCTGGTGCACTTACAACCTACACACCAGTTACCAGTCTTGAAGTTGTCACATATTCCACTGAAACGATTCCAAAGGTAATTACCTACACCTTTCCTGACAGTACGTCAACAGTTTGTTGCACTGCAAAAACTAGCGACGTAACAAAAGTCATTACTACTTCCACTCCTGTCACAGTGACCGAAGTGTATACAACTACTACCGTCTTTTCGGTACCGGATTCAACCTCATCGTCGTCTTCTGAATCAACCTTGGCCACCACCACGTCATCCTCGTCTTCTGTTTCGAGTACCAGCAGTGCACCATCGTCGTCTTCTGAATCAACCTTGGCCACCACTACGTCATCCTCGTCTTCTGTTTTGAGTACCAGCAGTGCACCATCCTCGTCTTCTAATTCGACCTTGACCACCACTACTCCATCCTCTTCTTCTGAATCGA